CTGAACTGTTATGTAGTATCAGTCCTTCGATATGGGAGTGAATGCTGGACAATGTCCTCACAGATAACGAAGAAACTTGAAGCAACAGAATCATGGCTCCACAGAAGGATGCTGAGAATACCATGGACCGAACTTGTGAGCAACAACGAAGTTTTAGAGAAAATGGAAACAAAAAGGACACTTAAATTTAGCATCAGAAATAGGTAGTTGAAATTTCTAGATCAAATAACGGGGAAATCGGGTTTGGAAAATGTCATATTCTCAGGACAGATTCAAGACAAAATGGACAGAGGAAAATAACGCATAACCTACTTAGCTAACTTGTGTAAATGGATGACAGAACAAGGTTTAGGAGAGACAACGAAAAGACAAAATTTATTAAGTGCTGCAAAGGAAATTGTGGAGATCCATGATCGCTAATATCTTAAGGGACTCGGCATCACCGACCTTCTTCGGTTGTCTGTTGGAACTGATAACATTCTAGCAATTTCGAGAAGAAATTATTAATAAAGAAATTTAAATTGTTCTCAGTTTGTTGTCTTTTGGTAGGGGAGATAACTCTTGTCAGATAATCGTACCGGTTTAATATGTCCTTGTGCTGGTAAGTGTCATTACAAACGAAGGAATATCTGAAGACTCAATGGAATGGCAAACGATAAAAAAAAGTATTAACAAACAGAAAAATTTGTTAGAAACGAACAGGAATGCTGAATTGTTATGGCGCATCAATCCTGTTATATGACAATGAATGCTGGACAATTTCCCCACAAATGACGAGGAAACTTGAAGCAACAGAGACATCTTTCTATAGAATGGAAGCTGACGGGGCATTGATCGACGAGGTAGCTTTAAGGATAAAAGACACTTGTGCTTAAAATCAGAAAGAGACAGTTGAAGCTCTAAGACACAGTTTGAGGAAAGAAGACTTGGAGAATATAATACTCATAGGGCATATTGGAAACGATAGAGGCTAAGCTAAACCTAACTAACGAGCTTGTTTAAATAGGTGACAGAACAGGGACTTGAAGGGATAGTAAGAGGAGAAACATTGCTTAGAGCTACAAAGGATAGAACGTTGTGGAGCGCCATGATTGCCTACGTCCTGAAGGGGCACGTGACTTGAAAGAAAATATCACTTCTCTCTTACACGGAAACATAACATATAACTTTTACGTTAATTCCCAATCGTCTTATAATTTTAATTCTCTCTTATAGGCTATTAGTTAAAAACGTAGTTTAAAATAACTCGAGTTACTAGTCGAGAGTTGAATCCCTTTCACGGGCAGTGCATAGTGCTTTTTATTCTCGTTCAATGGAAGAGGCAAACTATAGCCTCCAAACCAGTTATTTAGAAAGAAATAACTGACACCAGATTTCTTCAGACGAGGCACAATGAAATGAGAACAGTCAAGCTTCGAGGATTAAACCAAAAGTTCTGTTTATAAGGTTGTAACAGAAATCAGAAGGTCGGTTGGCGTAACGGTCAAAATGCTATGATAGTAAATCATTATATAATAAAGATAATTCATTAAAAAAAATATCCAGATAAAAACTCTTTTACGCTTGACTTGTTTGAAGGAAGCTAGGATTCAATCCGTTATTTATCGAAATATTTTGCTATTATAATCTGAAAAAAAAAACGACTGAAAATAAAACAATAGAAAGTTGTGGAGAGCCATGATCGTACACATCCTGAATATGAATATGAGTATACAAATAGGTTGTCTATGTTTCGAAAAGACATATAATTACTGATATTTTGTGACGTAAATCCTCCTAATGATGATGGCGGCTTTCGTCGGGGTAATTTCCTCCTCATCTTTTGATATGCTTGTATTATTATTATTATTATTATTGTTGCTGTTGCATTGTGGGTAATCCAAATTTCAAAATCGTGGATGAAAGTCAGAAATTTTTACGTAGCAATAAAATATTTTGTTAGTGGTTGACACATTGATTATTTCATGTGTCAGCTTTTCGTTGCATAGACGATGAAATGTATGATAGAAAATCCATTTTTAATAAATTCCAAAGATAGATACAAATTAATGTGTAAATACATTTTAAATAGAATTTTTGAAATTTCTTTTTATACATTATCGTACAGTATTTCTTCTTCATAATATGCATTCTAGGCGACCCATTTTCATCGGCAATTCGATATAATCGTTTCGTATCAATTGAAATAATGGCATCACATTAACATACGTTTTTATATAAGATGATATGAATGCTGATGGGCACTTACTGTAGCCCAAGGGTTAAGTACCAAGCTTGCCTCAACCCCATTTATCTGTACAATCAATTCCTTCATCGTAAGCGTTTCACTTACAAAATAGCCATAAATTCTTTTTTTCATTTAAATCTTCTAATGTTTATTTTTAGGATTGACAAACCGGTTTTTCTAAATTTTTGATACGATTATCAAAACGTACATTATGGGTAATCCCTTTGCTGACATCTGCAACGTTGTTGAATTAAAAACGTGTTTCAAAATATTAAAGGTAACTCATCTCCAGTAAGACAGATTACGATTGGTTGTTAAATATTAAAGGTAACTCATCTCCAGTAAGACAGATTACGATTGGTTGTTAAATATCGCAATTGGATGTAGAATCATTTATTTTAGAATTAGTTCGTTATGATTGACTGATAAATTATTCCGAGGCATAATCGATTATCCATGCTTTGATAACAATCATTGATTGGATGTTTGGCTTAAAGTAATTGGTCTTTTTTTAACACTTATTGTTTTATGAGACTTTGTGATTAAATCCTTGTTTTTCTTGGTCCATTTGGTAGATCCCTTTTTGATTTTGTATCAATCCCATTTTAGTACGGAACAAGATAAATCCATTTCTTCGTCAAAAGCTGGAGATTACTCCTTTTGATATTTTAAAGCTATCAGATGTAAACGATGAGAAACAATAAAAGGTCCGTTTAGAACAATCAGATATAAAAAGATGGATTCAATCCAGTGTGCAATCTATTAAATTTAAGTTTAACTCGTTTTAACGTGACATATTTTCCTTGGTTGAATTATTTGTCTTCCAAAAGAATAAGTCCTTCCTGGAATTCAAAAGACCCGCAGGATCCAATCTCTAGAGAAAAATGCCATATATCTTTTAATCAACCTGCTGGAGTGTGTTTGTACATGTAAAGATGGCAATATGCATTTGCATCTTCTTTTTTTCTATGTGCCCTGTCCCTTCAAGACATGGGCGGACATGGCTCTCCACGACTTCCTGTCCTTTGTAGCTTTTAGTAAGGTTTTGTCATTTTGCTATCCATTCTAATCCTTATCTTGCCAACCATTGACACAATCTCGTTAGGTAGGGGCTTCTCTGCATTTTCTGTCCCTCTTACCTTTATTATTTCCTGTGAGTGTCAGTTTCTCCAAGCCGTCTTTCTTCATTATGCACCCTAGACATTTGAGCTTTTTTTCTTTCTGATTCTAAGTAGAAGTGTCATTTTTGTTTCCAGTGCATTTCTATAGCGAGTATAACTTATTTTCTCTTATTCCGATGTCTAAGTTCAAATGTAATTAACAAGGAAGTTTAAATAAAAAGGGGGCTAATATTTAAAATCAGGGAAAGGCGAAATTGATCGTATAAACAATAAGGAAAAAAGGCGTGGAGAATTTGACACTCACAAGGTATACTGAAAGCAACCGAGACAGGTGGAAAGTAACATAAGAAGTTTGTGCAAATCGATTGTAAAGCAGGCAGTGGGAGTGATGGTGAAAAAAATCAAACCTTATTAAGAGCTACAAAAGATAGGAAGTTGTGAAGAGCCATGATCTACCAGGTACTGAGGGGAACACGGTACATAGAAGATGATGATGATGATGATGATAGGTCCAAGTAGTAATATATTACGCGGAACTCCTTGATTGCTAAGTTAGGTAATTCCGGTATTTACCGCTCGTAAAAAACACTTGTCTTTTCTTTTTAATTTTTGCCCCGCAAATAAAGAAGTGTTTTTGGAACGATTTAACCACTGGCAGTGAAAAATTGATTTCTGAAGAGAATCCGAAATGTAGGAAATCCTGTTTAGTTCCAAGACAGACAGTAATATTAAAAAGAAGTCTACTAAAGAAACATTTCCGCTGTGTTTGTTGATCAAATTTTTGCTGTGTTTGGTGGTCAGATTTTCGCTGTGTTTGGTGGTCAGATTTTCGCTGTGTTTGGTGGTCAGATTTTTCACGCTGATGGTTAAATTTAGGCTGTGTTTGTTGATCAGATTTTCGCTGTGTTTGTTGATCAGATTTTAGCTCTATTTGGTGGTCAGATTTTCGCTGTGTTTGATGGTGATTTTTTTGTGTGGTCAGATTTTCTCTGTGTTTGGTGGTCAGATTTTTCGCTGTGTTTGTTGATCAGATTTTCACGCTGATTTGGTTAAATTTAGGCTGTGTTTGTTGATCAGATTTTCGCTGTGTTTGTTGATCAGATTTTAGCTCTATTTGGTGGTCAGATTTTCGCTGTGTTTGGTGGTCAGATTTTCGCTGTGTTTGTTGATCAGATTTTCGCTGTGTTTGGTGGTCAAAATTCGTGTTAGAATTAAACAATTTTAAACATGTATTTCAATTATATTTAGGCAACAATCTTTTCTTTAAACATGAACAGACAAGGAAAATATGTTAATCTTTTTGTAAATATCCTGGTTTCGAAATTGTCTTTTAGCGTTTGGTGCAAAATTGTGAAGGAACTTACCGAAATTGTGTATATCGTTTCGACTGATTAATTGATTCGGTTTTTACGGCTTATCAACCCTTTTTCATTTTATTTAAAGCCCGAAAAAAGATGGTAAAAAATTATCTGATAATAAAGATTTAGTCATTCAAGTTTTGCTAATTAACCCATAGCTGATGAGACGAGAGGTGGATTCAAAAATTTCCCCATATTATTGCGCGTAAGTCAATACAACGAACCCGACGGGAAGTGGAACTGGATTTTCTGACTAACAATTCTGAGCCATTATTCATTACACCACCATAAAGTTTACAGCATTTGGTATTCCCAAGCGGTCACCCATGTAGGTATTGACAAGGCTCGACGTTGCTTTATTTCAGTGTTCGTACGGTAACTGGTGTTTCAATGTGATGTGGCCATAAGCATTATATTGTCCCGAGTACTTTTTCGAGCATATGCATATTAAACTTGTCTTTGCATATATTCGCCAATATGAAAAGACCGGTAACTATGTTGATATCAGCCGTTATTATCGCAGATTTTACAAGTATATAATGTATGTTGTAGAAGATTATAACATTCAGCTGGGAAAAATTGGTGTCTGCTGTGTTATCAGGTATAGGATGCTGGTAATGAAGTCCCACAGGAAGAAGACCTTTTTAATGACTTTTAAAAAAATTAATTGTTATATTTATTCATTTTTTGTGGAAGTTTTTTTTTTTCTGTGTCTGGAGACGAGTGAGAACTTTCAGTCTCGAAAACTTTTTCCAATGTCCAAAAGAAACTTCTTTGACCAACTTGATAATAGGGTACTTTTTTAAACCATGGTGTGAAAATTTCCAATGCAGATTTTATTTGTTTTTAAGAGAAAAAAGAGTCCTTGCAATAGCCAGCTTACGTTCAAGTGTATATACTGATTCATATGTACGCAAATAATGCATGTTACATGTAAGATTATAGGTGTATAAAAGATCCAAGTTATTCACTGTAGTACAGAGATCAGACAAGTCATCTGTTAACCAAAGAACTGCCATTTTCTGTTAAAGAAATCGCCAAATGCACAGTTTCCGTCGCTGGGTCACGTTCTCGGCATTTGTGGACGACACTTTCTCTGCGATGACAGATCGCACTGCGAAGAACCTGTTGTTTAGATTCCTCGAAGCAAATCTACCGCACCCCCAAATCGCAACAGCTTTTCTTTTCTTTTCTTTTTTTTTTTTTTTCCTTTTTTGTTTGCTTTCCCACAATCCTTTGCTGTCAGAACAATAATGACATTAATAAGACAGAATGTCGCAGGCAACGAATACGGTTTTTCTCTAAACATACCATCACGTCTGTAAATATTTCAAACAAAATATAAAGAGAGAGATAGATTGATATAGAGAGACAGAGAAAGAAAGAGAGAGAGAGAGAGAGAGAAGAGAGAATGAAATAAAGAAGAGAAAGAAAGAGTAGCTCTGAAAAAATACGGATTGTTTATTTATTATGGCGTCGAAGCGGGAATGATACATATTTAAATTGTCGGTTGAAGCGGCGTCGGGTGTTATATTTTATTGATATATGTTTATTTTGTTCTATCATACACACACACACACACACACACACACACACACACACACACACACACACACACACACACACACACACACACACACACACACATATATATATATATATATATATATATATATATATATATATATGTAATTTATACATGTATACGAGAGGGCTGGAATAGGTTATCTTGCTGGAAGGTGGAGTGAAGGGATGAAAGTAGAGGTGTGGATGGAGTTATGAGTTACGACAGAGGTTGATGGTGAATTTTAATGTTTGATAAGAGGCTGGGTTTCAATCTACCCACTCATTTCCCACACCCATGATCTGTTATTGACTTATAGCAAAAAGAAGAAACAATAGTCAATGATGCATTCTCACTTACGTTCCAAATGCTTTTCCTTTGTTTCCTTCCCTTTCTCCACTCTCTTCTCTCTCACTAATATATACAATAAGATAATTCGATCAATGCTGGCGTTCCCCAAGGCTCTCTCCATGGCCTTACCCTCTTTCTGTTTTATATGATCACTCTCCCTAAGAGCATTCTCAGACCCTTTGTAAATATATATGTAGATGATACTACAGTGTATGGGTGTACATCTAAATGTCTGGTTGACCAGTGCTTCACAGGTGATCTACCCTTCAACAAAATTCTCATAATTTAATGTGGGAAAAACTGAACTGTTTCATTTAATGCCCCCGAATCAAAACAATTAACGTTTCATTACCACCGAGCAAACTCTAAATTCGATAAAAAATCATTTCAAGACCTCAAAGAGGTTCATTACCTCGAACGCCGACTGGGTCTAAAGATCATTCCAGACCTAAAATGGAACACGTATATTCAGGCCGTAGCTAAAGATGCTGTGAAAATGGTTGGTTCCTTATACATTTTCATATAATACTTAACCCCTGCTAGCATGTTTTGTTTCTACAAGAATCAGGTGACATAAGAGAAAGAAGTATATCTGAGCTGGTGTTGTCCAGCCTCGTTCAAAGGCGTTTGTAAGTACTTGTGAATAATGAATTACTCTCCACTCCACAAGACAACCCACAAACGTTGCAAATTTCTCTCACTGTTCTATCGCTATTTCTATGACAAATATTCAAACGACTTACATTTCCTAGTCCCACCATTTAATTCCTACAGAGCTAGGACCCTCCACCATGTCATTTTCACGGTAGCAAATCATCCCTGCTCTCTTCGTAAGAATGTACTTCTTGGTAAGGAGTACGTTCCACTTGAACAACTTCTTCCCCAGACCTGTTACTTTGTGAAACAGACTCCCGAGTAGATCATTCCATGAACAATACACACTTAATCTATTCAAGTCCAGATTAACTGATATCTATCCTACATATCCTCATATTATGTCCTTCTCATAACCTCATTACACCTCCCTTACAACTATCTGACTCAGTGACCACTCTTGGTCCTTGTATTGAGTGAACTGAACTAATAAAAAATCACTTAGCCAAACTCAGAATTATATAGATACTTTTTCATATCCAATTCTCAGCGAATTTCTTAGTAAATTAAAGTTTTTTATGTACATGTATTTTTTCTCAGTGATAAAAATATATTTTATAAATATAAAATAAATAGGATTTTTTAAATAATTCCATAAACGAAAAATGACTATCGATGAAGAAAACGTTTTGAATTAGTTCATTTATCTGTCTATATCTTTGACATGAGATATTATGATTATTTACATTATTTGCATAATTCGGACTGTTATCTGCATCTTCATTGCCATATTCACAACGTTTCGTTCGTTGTACGCTCCGGCCTTCTTCAGGTGATTGGAATTTCGAAGCGAACCGGGGTAGATTGATCCAGTTCCACGTGCCATGCCTCTTCCGGATGCCTCAGTTATTTCCCTTTAACTCTCCAAGTTTTGGTTCACCACTGCTGCAGCTTGGTATTGAACTCACAACACTTTGAGTCTAGTCACTGGATCTAACCAGTGCCTTTATCCTCGTGAGTTCATTATTATAACTATTAAGGATCTTTATTTATTATTCCTATATTCCCAGGTGTCGGCAAGCTACGGCGCGCGTGCCACACGCGGCACGCCAAGCAGTTTCCAATGGCACGCAGCCGCAAATGACGTCACGAAATCCGAACCAATAACTACTATAACGCAAAGAAGATATTTAACTATTTTAATTTTAATAAATACTAAAGTATATATATTATATATTACTATATACAATCTATTGTAGAACAGCTATATTGACCTTGATTTGTAAAAACTACGTATGCTGTTGGCACACTGAATGATTTTAAAACCCTAAGTCGGCACATAGTTAGCAAAAGGGTGCCGACCCCTGTTTTAGACCATTTTTCTGGTCTCTGAAGAACATTTCAAGATAAGGAATTTCCATTATTTATATTCGGACTATTTTCCTTATCTTTGTTTTTGTTATCACAACGTTTCGACCATTGTGCCCTGCGGCCTTCCTCAGATGTATGGCCCACAGGACAATGGCTTAATGGATAAAAATGTTGGTTTGTGAATTTGGTGATATTGTGGTTGTTAGTTCAATCCTTGACCAGGTAGTGTGTGCTTGCACTCAGTGGAAATGGGCGATCAATAACTGAAAAGTACGAAATAAAAAATTAAAAATTAAAGCTCGACAATGACCTGAACAGTGGAATGAGAACAGTCTATTCCCGTAGATTAAATAAAGTGTTCAATTCAGAATTCCCTGTACGTTATCTAGATAGATACACATCTGAGAATGGCCGGAGAGCATAACGGTCGAAACGTTGTGATAACAACAACAACAAAGATGAGGACAATAGTCCGAATACAAGTAGTTTAAATAATGATAAGTCCTCATCCCAGAAATTCAGACAGACATGCCGTCCTGGGTATGACGATAAACTACATCCACACACTGGGCAACACGATAAACTACGTCCAACAGCAAGGCCTCTGATCAGGAGATTTTGAGGAACGTGTAACGACCTCTTTATTGCTGGTGTTCCCAGGCCCACCCTGACCCGGAGTGATAGCACCTGTTAGGGTCCCAACTATGGGCAAATAGTTAACTCTCAAACTGGGGTCAAAGCACTATGAAAATGTAAAAATAAGGTTTAATACCAGAAATAATTTGTAAAAAATATTATTAGCAACAATACTACTTTTTTGAAAAAAAAAAGATATTACCAGCAATATATTTTTGAACAAAAAATATAACCAGTAATAGATTTTTGAAATATATATATATATATATATATATATATATATATATATATATATATATATATATATATATACCAGCAATAAAAATTTTGTCGGCATTAAATAACCCATTGAGGTGTTGATATGCCATATAAGAAAGCAAAGCAAAACAAACCAAACAGACATGAATAATTTCGGACTATATACGCCGTTATCAACGTTTTTTTTATGATATTATGACTATTGTTCTTTTGTATTATTTATATCAGGTTGTTTTTTTTTTCAAATATGGTGTCTTCATATATCAAATCTATTTTTTTAGAAACATCACGTCTTCCCGCTTCAGTTTGTGTTGGTGTGTCTTTAAAAATTAACTTTTTTGATCTTTAGTCTAATTTGTATGTATATATTAGGGAGTATGAGATAATGATGGAGATTTGAGATACTGGAACTATTATCAAAACGAACACGAGAGAACTGGGTTAGATTTCCGTTTAAGGTTACATGTATTCAACTTTGTGTTGAAGAAGGCATGAGCCAACCTCGTCTTTCATTTGGCCCCCAAAGAAGTGTTCATACGACAATGTGACTGTTGCTAACGGAGATGAGAGCTCAAACAGGTTAGGGGTTATTCTTTGACAAGTGTATCACATAAAGTAGTATTATCTGCATCA